TCAAAATTAAAATAACAGCATTTCTATATGTGCATACATTCCCTATCAAACGTTCTGATACTTGGGCATTCAACTGAGATGTTTTGTATCAATTCTGTACAAATAAAAGAACACACTTTGATGTAGGACAAATAGAAACAAATTATTACCGACTGCGAGAAAATAAATTTAGTTTTATTGCACCTATATTTGTTTCCAAATGTTGCCACCACATTGTACATAATTACATAATTACATAATTTGTACATAATTACTTGCAACTGATACATCTCACAACTTGCGAAGGTGACATTTTTGCAACTGCCACTTTTTAGCAACTGCTAAACATGCATGTACATTTCATTTATTCTCAACTCATATGAATATGATGAAAATATAGAATGCCACATGCTAGCCTGATTTGCATGATTTCCAAATAAAGAAGTCATTTGAACCTGTCCGCAACACTTTCAAATTGGCCCATCTAGCATTTTTCGAAGGGGTAAATTTTTTTCGATGTCAGATGTACATAAATGATTACTTGCTGAGTACTGAGCCAAGTGTTTGGTCAGAACGAAAACAATGATATATAACAGCTGAAACACTATAAAGTCTGATACAAATTTTTACAAATTACTGTCAATAACAGTGATACAGCATATGCGTATATATTGATAACACACGTATGACGGTCCATTCTTGTAATGCTGCATCATTTGAAAAAAAACAAAACATTTACAACGATCCATCCTTCACATGATTATTTTATAGTAAAAATTAAAATTCATTAAAGGCACTTTTTCTTGAAATTTCACTGATATCCACAGAAAAACAAAATGGCAAGGTTACATTCAGAGTATCATGTACAATAAAAAAAACAAAATGTAAGATTACAAATTAGAGAGTAGTTTAATAGACAGATACATTTCCCAATGCATTCTAGAAGCTGGAATGAAATCAACATGTCAATTCCAGTGTAAATTAAATAATTAAACAAGTACTCATTTACAAAGGTAGGTAATGTACCTGTGTGCCTGAGCAAGTGTGAGGAGCCATCACCATAGCGACCAAGGTGGTAATCGTAAAGTGTGCATAGGAATTCCTGTGATGTTGACTGGTATGGAGATAATAGCACCAGGCATACCATTAGCTTCTAATGACTGTTTTATAAGGTATCTGTTAAAATAAAAATAAAAAGGGTTAATATAAAAAGGCTGAATAATTTTTAATGTGTCGAAGTTCAGCATACATGACAAAGGCCACACCAACTTAATTTTATGGATGACATCCGCGCGCGCATTAGTTTTCGCCTGTTCTCAAAAAAACACAACAAAAACCCGCGACGAGTCTTCACAGATTGGTTTTCTGTCCGGAACTTGCCGACTCATATTGTCACAAAGCGGCGGCTTGGCGTAAAACTCGTTTTGGACTACCTCAAAACGTGCCAATTTTGTCGTAAATGATTCCAACATGGCAACCGCGCCACCAAAATACGTGAGCATAAAAGTACAGAGGAAAAACAGAGGGATTGTTGTAGACTGGTATGCAATTGACGTCGGCCAGGGAGATGTGATGTTTACACAGCTATACGAAAGATTGGTAGCGGCAAGCGAGTTTCGCCCAGACAACTTTAAGAACATATTGTCCAGAGTGGCTGTCCCGCGTTTCTTCTGCAACGATGAGAGAAATGGGAGAGGAGTGGAGGTGTATGGTGGCCTAAAAGTTGGTCAGGTGACAAGTCAGTTCGGATGCTTTGTTCGCATTGAAGTCGACAAAACTGCAACAAAAGCAGAGGAAGCTCCTTGCCGAAGTCCGCTTTCGAGGTGAAGAAAATGTTCTTCTTATTTTTTTTTTCATTTTCTGATTTGAATAATTTGCTTGCACTCACAGTGCAATGTTTTGTTAGTTATTGTCATAAAGTAGTGATATGTACATTCCGCCTTGACTTGTACTGAAAATGGTGTTTATGCTGTACCTTGAATGCAGTGTTTCTGACTGAAGGTACTTCATCATGACTACATGTACTAGAGCTTGTCTGAAATGGTTATACCTGTGACAGCAATACGAGATGTGTACATCAACATGTGCTTCCTACAAATAAAGACTTCTTGTTTTTTTTTTTTTATACACTCTGTTCTTTGATTCAATTTGTAATACCAGCGCCGTAGACTGTAGTTTTAGCAGGATTTTTTTTTTTGGCAGGATTTTTTTTTTTTCGCCCTCTCGCATTAGTTTTGGGGTCTCCAGAGGATGTCATCCATACAATTAAATCAGTGTGGCCTAACATGCACTAAAAAAATTATAATTGTTAATTGACACTGAACACCAAAGGCCACGAAATGAGAACGAGAAAGACACTACACTCGTTGTTTTTCCATCAATATGTTCGATTCTCTCTTGTCATCTCATCTACTACTTCCTAATATTGGTACCATGGTTACATAGGTCAGAGAAACGGTGATGCGGTGACGAAAGAGAAGAGACTGTTTGAGGAGTAGAAACAAGCCTAGTGACCAACTCACATGTAAAATGAATGTCAGTTCACCGGGCCTACACTGGAAATGAGTTTTAGGTTTTCTGGTGTTGTGTATATGGCCTGTACATTCTAAATGTCATATATAATTATTTGGGACAAAAAAAAAAAAAAAAAAAAAAATAATAAAAAAACGCATTGTTCATTTGTCGTATTCAAAGCATTTTTTTCAGTCTTACCCATCTTTGCCGAGGAGGAATAACGCTGGTATATTCGCACCCCGCTGTGTTTCATCATTTATCATATCTATATACTGCCAGTCATTGGTAAAAACATTATCATGAATAATTACTGCTAACGCTCCAAACGTCTCAGCCATTATTGTTTTTGAGAGAAAAGAACAGCCACTGAAACATATGAAGAAAAGAAAGAAGAAATAGACAAATGAAAAAAAAAAATATTTTAATGAATTTGTCTCTGGCATCATCAATATTATGATCATAATCACCATTCATTTGGCAAAGTAACAAATCAGCCTCACAAACATGTGTTATTATTTAAATATCTTAATCCTAGTTGTGATAAATAATTGAAAAAATTAGAAAACTAGCTTTAATTTACATTTTTGTACATCAAAATACATTCTGAATATTAATAATGGCGGGTTCACATACAATGTACATGTAATTGATGTGGTAGTCACCTTGTACAGTAGCAAGGTCATCATACTATGCTTATTGTTTCCTTATTCAGCAAGATAAGGATGAACTGATAAAAAAGAAAAGATTCCTGGGAATCTACGTGTAAGTGTGATGGTCTTCAGAGTATACAAATATATTGCCTCACAGAGCCCAGAATTCAGCCATTCCAATCCATGGTAACTCATTTTAAACTGAAAAGTTAAGAGGTTTTAACATCCTCTTATCATATTCATGAATCACTCAGCATCAGAGTGCAGCTTTAAAATTAACAAG